TCTTATGTTATGTATCATATATTATAAACTGACCTTTAGTCTTACAAAGTGACCTGTCTTGGCTGTGTTTTAGTAGGCTAGTATTTTGTAAAATACAGTCATGTTTCCATTATTATACATTATATATGTATATAGATTATGATTATTTACAAATAAGCACTTAAACTTATTTTTCTTTAAACATAAAACAGTAAATAAAGAAGTGCAGCAAACAATTATCTCTTCTAGTTATGACCTTTGTATTCAGTTGCTGTTTGACATAGGTTGCCAATATGAAACAAAATAATTTTTTTTTGCTTTTATATATATATATACATTTGAATAACCAAAAGATCATAAATTACTATATCGATACCACAGAGTTCCACTATAATTTATCACGATTAGTATTCATTAGTAACTAAGCTCTATTTGGGGCTAAAAAAATACAAACTTTTGAGCAGACTAAAGACACAACCTACCTCCTTGAAATCTTGGTTCAAAAGAAATAAATGTCACTGGGGGACATTCTGAGTAATTGAATGGATATTCACATGTCATATATAAGTGTATATAAGGGACCGTTTCCAAAAATGGAAAGAGAGTGGGGCCACTATGTTTGATTCATTACATGAGTAATATATCAGCAAAGATAAAAGGCAGAAGGTTCTTATTTTATATTCTAGCTTGTCAATATTTGTAATTTAAGTTCCTAACTCGTATGAAACTATAGATTTAGTATATTGACATCACAAACATCTAATTTGAGCCAGTGCTGCATTCAACATACCATGTGACACACAAGAATCGATGTTTAACTGTGTTTTTTTAATATTTACTATTAAATTAAGAAACTGAATAATGTGTAATACTAAAATTTTTATTATAATCTACAGTTTGACACCAAACTTATTGACATAAATTAATGAAATAGTAGGTCAATAAAATTTTAATTATAAGTCAACAAATGCAATGACATGGCCTTTGACCTGTGACTCATCTGGAGAGGGTTAACTACATATTCTAGTACAGCTAATCATAGAACTAGCTAAATAACCTACTATACTCTTCAACCAAAACAATTAGAAATATATTGTTGAGAAAGTGGATAAATCAATTGACTGATAGACTACATAGAAAGACCCGTGTTTATGATATATATATTGAAATGAAATGGTGTATTTGTGTTTTACACTCACAAAAAAGAAACCTATCATTCTATAGGTATTTGAAG